GGAGGAGATGTACCAATTTCAAATACTTCATTCCTCCCCCTCCCGCCCCTACTACTGCAGCCACCACTGTATTGCTACTAAGGGAAAATATTGGTCCCTGGCAGCCCTAGTGCCTTCACCTTGGCCCTGGTCTCTCCTATTCTGTCCTCTGCTCCATTATCCTCATGTTGAGCACTCTTTGCCTTTCTGAGAAGACTGAAGCAAAGAAGGTGTTGAGTAAGTCTGCCTTTTGTCTGTCCCCTGTTAACTTTTTGCCATTTTCTCCACACAGTGGCCCTACCATTTCCTTCTTCTTCCTTTTGCTGAAGACATACCCCCAAAAAAGCCTTTTTATTGTTCTTACACCTCTCTAGCAAGTTTGAGTTCATTCTGCGACTTTACCCCTACACGTGCTAGCTATTTGTTTGAATTCCTCTTTTGTGATTTCCCCATTTTCCCATTGCTTATACATGTTCCATTTAAAACTTAGGGGGGTTGAAGACTGCCAGAAATAGTGCAAATTGAGTCCACTTTTAGGGTTAGGGTTAGTGCTAAGGAATCATGAGAACTGTATTTTATTGTGGCACCAGAGCTCTCTGACAGAGAAGGCTCAATGTCTCAGGAAAAAATACAATTTCCATGATTCCCTAGCACTGAGCCAGGGCAATGCCTCAATTTAATGTGCACTATTTCTGGCAGTCTGCAACCCCCCTTAGTTCAGTTGAAAGTTCTTTAGTCATCCATCTTGGTTTCTTGAGGCACCTCCCATTTTTCTTCCTCGTTGGAATGGTTTGAAATTGTGCCTTCAGTATCTCCCTTTTGAGAATGCAGTCTAGATTTGTAGTTTTCTGATATATGTAGCCTTCTCTGTCAGAGTGATTTGGTGCCACTACGCACTACAAATCCCAAGATTCCATAGGACTGAGGTATAGCACTTAAAGTCGTGTCAAATTGCATTATTTCTGCAATGCAGATGTAGCCTTATACTTAACAAAGGGTCTTTGCAGACTGCTAGAAATAGTGCAAATTGAGTCCACTTTAAGGGTTAGGGAATCATGGGAACTGTATTTTATTGTGGCACCAGAGAAGGCTCAATGTCTCAGAAAAAAAAACAATTCCCATGATTCCCTAGCACTAACCCTAATCCTTAAAGTGGACTCAATTTGCACTATTTCTGGCAGTCTGTAAAGGCCCTAAGTAGTTGATAAATGCATCCAATGCATTTAAAATACAAAAAAAAGAACAGAGTACACCATTTAAAAAAATTCTACTGTATCATTAAAATCAATCAAATGTTTGCCTAAATAGAAAAGGTCTTAACTTGCTGGCAAAAAGAGAACAGGGAAGGGGGCTAACTAGACCTCCCATGGGTGGGAGTTCTATAGTCTAGGACAGGGGTAGGC